CTCAAAGAGTCGGACATGACTGAGCGACTTCACTTCACTTCACTAACTAATTCAATAATATCTAACTCCTCTGAAGCTCCTGTCATCAATTTTACCATCATCTATCTACTGTGTAGCAGTCATCAACTAACATTTCAGTACTTAATGGTTTTAGAATATCCCTCACTGTAATCCTTTCTCTTCCTACCCCTGCCACTACTCTGCTGGTTTGGGCATCCACACAGTTATTCTGTTCAAAGCACTGGAGGTTCTGAATTTCTGTACCTCCTCACCTCCAGTGACTTTTTTTTTGTGCATCTTACATCAATTACCAGCTCTTCTGTCATTCCCTGATGATATCTTCATCAATATTTGTACATTCTCATCTTTAAGCACCTTAATTTCTGGTCATTCCACCTAACCTTCCACTTTACCTACTATACTAAAGGTTAAAGTTAATTTTAGTAAAATTCTTTAAACTTCTAAAGGTTGCCAATCCACTCTCCCAATCACTTTTTTCCACTTTATCATCCTCTTCATGACCTTACTTCCATCTCAACCCACCTTAGATTCCATACTCCATTATTATTAAAAGTACTCCATTGAAAACACTCCTGACTTTCTGTTCCACTCTCCCTTTCTTGTGCTCTTCTAGAAGAGCCCTGACCTTAATCAATGCTAATTATTTTCCTACACCTTTCCTTCATTCAGGCAGCTGAACATGGCTGAAGAAACAGTGGCAACTGTGTTGAGCAACTCCTTTTAAAATGAACAACTACATGGCTATTCCATGTTGCCTATTACAAGTTCTATTACATGTTACTTAACTTGGTCATTTTTCTATTCTCCAAAATGATCTCATATCTTATCTAACCTCACATCTTACCTACCCTGCATCTTTCACTTGATCCTTCAAAGCATCAAGACCTTAAAACAATCATTAAATGCCTTTTCTGTCTCATACTACCAGAAAATAAGCTTCCTGATGTCAGGAAAATTGGTTTCGCTGTTTACTGATGCATACAACACACACACATATACACACACATCATGAAACTCACTACTCATTTTTATGTTCAATCAAAAACTAGAAATTGTATCCTGCTATGCATGCAGTCGCAGTCGCTTTAGTCATGTCTATCTCTTTGCAACCCTATGGACTGTAGCCCACCAGGCTTCTCTGTCCATGGGGTTTCCCAGGCAAGCATACTGGAGTGGGTTGTGATTTCCTTCTTCAGGGGATCTTCCTGACCCAAGGATGGAACTGGCATCTCTTACATCTCCTGCATTGGCAGGAATGTTCTTTACCACTAGCGCCACCTAAGTCTAATTCAATCTTCTACAACCTGCCTCAATTTTCCAACTTCACATTCTGACTTTTCCCCCAGACATTCCAAGTTCCAGTGGGTTGGATCCCACTTTCTTTTGAACAGTCCATCTTTTTCATGGTCACTGACACACTTTTCCTGATGCTTTTGATCACTTGGGGTTCTTTTATGCATTCTCTCTTTCAAAAAGGTCTCTTCTCCCTTCTTTTCAGCAAGATTTCCCCTGATATTTGCTCCCACAACAGATTTTCCCTGTTTCTTCCCTAGAGCTCTTTCTGCTTTACCACTAAATCTTGCTACTGAGTCATCCAAGTCTTACATTATCTGATCTATGTAGAATAGTTCTATATTTTAAATGAGATCAAAAGCTTCTTTGATGCTCTTCTCTGTAGGGCCATCAAAGTGTTAGTTAAATACAGTAATCAATAATTTAGAAATGCAATATGTATTTATACATATATTACAGATGAGTATTAATTTAATTAACACATGCAAAGCATTTACAATTTATTTGTTCCCTCATCTGTAAAAATTTTTTTAAGTGCCTTATATAAGTTATTACAGTTTGTCATATAAAATTTTTTGTATTTTATAAATGGTCAGAGAAGAGTAAAACAGCTTTAGTGCTATAAAAAGCATCAGCAAAGATCAAATTAAAAATCATGTTATTTAATTTCCAATTATAGGTTTTTAATAAGTTATATGTATTTTCTTCCTTTTCCAGACACAGATAATGCATAATAAGATGATAAATTCATAGGCTACTAAACTATTACCTAATTCTTGGACACATTTCAATATCCCAAATTAGTTTCAAATGAAGGTATAATGAAATGAGAGATATTTACCTGATTCCTTATTTTTAGGAGGGCTATTCTAGAATCAGTTTAATGGAATATTTATGGCTAATTTCTTAAAATTTTTAAAAATATAATCACACCAGGCTTTTTTTTTTTTTTTTTTTAGCCACACCATGCAGCATGTAAGATCTTAGTTTCCTGACCAGTGATTGAATATGTGCCCTCTGCAGTGGAAACGCAGTCTTAACCACTTGACCATTAGGGAAGTCCCTACTTTATTTCCTTAAAATACTTAAGACCAAGAGAACTGTTATTTCAAAATATTTTACTCAAAGTGAAAAAATGTCCAATATCAAAGAAGAGACAAACTTTTTTTTCTACTTTCAAAAATTTTACTTACAAGTGTTAAAGTTCTGTGAGGTTATTAATCATGGTACTACAAATGTAACTGCATGTTTTGGAATTATTAGTAAATGGCTTACATCAATATAAAACATTAAGTATAAGAATATGCAGAATAAAATTTTCAAGCACATAAATTTCATGTAATAAATAACCTTTTCCATGGTAGTGATGAATAACCAACAATTATCACAGAAATATCAATCTATGAGAAACTACAACTCTACTGCTGATTGTAACCAAACTAAAGGATATCATAGGCTATTTAGTTTTTAAGAAAGTAAGGAGGCAGAGTCAGTTCTAATGAGGTGGATGAATGCAGAGCCTATTACACAGAGTGAAGTAAGTCAGAAAAACAATTATCATATACTAATGCATATATATGGATTCTAGAAAGCTGGTACTGATGAACCTGTTTCAAAAGCAGCAGTGGAGACCCAGACACCGAGAATGGACTTATGGACAAGGTTGGGCAGGGAGAAGAGGGTGAGAGGTATGGAGAAAGTAACATGGAAACGTACATTACCATGTGTAAAATAGATAGCAGATGGGAATTTGCTGTTTGACTCAGGGGAAAACACCCTATGGGGAGGGAGGTGGGAGGGATGTGTAAGTGGGAGGGGACATGGGTAAATCTATGGCTGGTTCATGTTAATGTTTGGTAGAAACCAATGCCATAATGTAAGCAATTATCCTTCAGTCAAAAATAAATAAATCAAAAAAAAGAAAGTAAGGGAAGATAAAAGAAGAAAATCTGGATAAAAATGATAGACAAAAACACTACTATATCAATAAGATTAAAGTCATTAACATTTTTGAAGAGTTAATGCTAACTCTTTTTGTCCCAAAGCTTTTAAAATGCCTCAAAAGACTTTCGATCCAGTGGTTAAGAATCCAGAGGAACTGAGGGAGCTGCAGGGAAACATGTACATTACTGTATGTAAAACAGATAGCCAGTGGGAATTTGTTATATGACACGGGCAGCTCGAACTGGTGCTCCGTGGTTACCTAAGGGGGTGGAATGGGGTGGGTGGTGGGAGGGAGGGGACATATGTATACTGATAGTCGATACATGATGATGTATGGCAGAAATCACGACAATACTGTAAAGTGATTAGCCTCCAATTAAAAAATAAATAAATTAAAAAAAATGAATCTGCTTGCCAAAGCATTGGACATGGGGTTGATCCCTGGTTCAGGAAGATCCCACATGCCATAGAGCAACTGAGCCTGAATGTCACAACTATTGAAACCTGTGCTCCACAAGAAGAGAAGACATCTCAATAAGTCCCAAGATGGAAAGAAAAGGAGCCCTTGTTTGCAGCAACTACAGAAAGCCCATGTGCAGCAATGAAGACTCAGCACAGCCAAAAAGAGATAAATAGATGAATAAATAAGATGGTAAAGAATGAAATAACAGAGGAAAATATTTCTATTCTTGCTCACTTTGTGATTTATTTTATATATCAATGGTATTTAAAACAGAAAAAGCATAAAAAGGAACCCATATTTGAACTGTATAAAATAACCACAGAGCATAAACAATCAATTATGAAGTTTATAATCTTATGTAATATCTTCAGGATTAAAAAAAAAATTTCCAGTAATTTAAAGCAGTTGTTAAACCAGAAGTTGATTCTCACATTAATCCTATAGTAAGAGTCAAGAAGCATAAGTAACAGCATAAAAGAAACTTAAGATAAACTATCTCTATTTGTCAGGAGAGTAAAATAAAAAATAGGAGACAATGTCATTTGTGACACTGAGAGAAAAGGTGTTGACTTTCTGTATAAGTCACCTAGAGGATGAGGACATCTTTCTTAGCGGCAGTGAGAAAGGACATTTTGCGTGTGGCATAGGCCCTCTCGGAGGAGGTCGCCATCAGCCCCACTATAGGGCTGCCACGCAGATGACCCACACACTGCAGAACAATTATACCAAGAAAAAACCAAACCAAACTGGGAGCAAATCCTCATCTTATAAAGGCCTCATGGCATGTTAAGTGTTGGCAGAGGTGCACTTTGATCATTTCCCTCTTTCCTTTATTCCCATCCTTTGGGTCACATAATTGAATCTGTAGTGAATCTGGTCCCATGGCTATTTCTTGCACCTAAGTAGGTTGAAAACCATGAGTACTCAGAAAATCACTGTGTATTCTTTTTGAAATACACAAGGCCACTACACATTCTTGTAGAATCAATGCTAAAGGAAACATTATGAATGTAATAAAGTCTAGAATATTTTCACTTAGGTCTATATCACACCACTATTTAAGTCAGTTTTGGCATAAAAGTCATTTGACTTATTTGCTTGATACTCTAAAACCTGTATTATTTTCTAGAAGGAAATCCAAATTGCATGGCATTTGTCCCAATCCAGGATCATAGAGCCAGCCCCATATAAGAATCAAAACATTGCTCAGCCAGAGGAACTTCGAGGCCTAGAGAGAGGGTTCCTGGGTGAACTGCCTGCAGAACTCTTCAGGGCATACCTTCTTGACATGAGGAAGGGCAAGATGTCCAGTCACTATATGGCGTCACGATACAGTCCTTCCTACAAGGAAGCAGACAGGGCCGTACTGTTTCAGGTCGAAGGCTTTCAGGACACCTAGGAAAAGCAAAGGGAAATTACTAGACCTCTGTACTAACCCAGAACCAGGTAATTTATATCTTTAGAATTTTTACTTCTGAAATTGCTAAACAGTCATCCATCTGTAGTATTCCACCTCCAGGATTCTTTCTACTTTTTGACAAGAACTATATAACTAAAATAATTCTTCTGAACTGAACCTCAATAAAGCTTCTCAAGGCAGGAAGTGAAAATTTAATAATAGTAATTGTGCTATGTAGGAGAAAATATAATAATTATTCTTTTTCCATTTTTAACAGTCTATTACTAAGTCTGCACTTTCTAACGTGCCTTATAAGAAATTTATGAAAGTTCAAATTACCAATTTAAGGAACCAATTCTACACCTTTGTATAACTAAATAGGCTTACTGTCAATCATAATTTTCCAGGCTACTCTGTACTTTATTTTTACAAAATATATTTAGCAAAAAAAAACTTATTCTATATAAGCATATTCTATAATAATATATATATATATTATATATAATAAGCATATTCTATAGATAGTACATGCTCAAAAACCAATATTGTATTTATAGCTATGAATGTCATAAAAATAAGTAATAAAATAAGAAAGTATACAGCTAATTAAGATAAACAATTTTTGTTCTGTTCCTGGTTTCATTCACTGTATTCTTATTTTTTCTTCCATTTTCTTCTAAGTTTTAATCTACTGGATTTTAAATATTTTAGGTATTTTTATAAATTATAATATTTTTAGAATAAAAAGAGTGAATGGATATAAATAAAGAGTCAATAAGTAATTTAAAGAAAAACAAAACATTGTGTTCTTGACATAAATTATAGCAAAATTAGGTTAATTATAATTTTTCAAAAACACAAAAATATAAAATATATTATTAGGGACATGAGAGAAAAATAATGACAAAACATTGAAATGCCTTATACTTTATAAGGTTTTCACTTCCTAGAAGAATTTTAGGAAGGTGATGTATGAGTTTTAAATATAGTTTTTTGTTTATTGTGTACTTGTTCCATGATTTTTAAATTTCCTAATTCTTTTCTGCATCTTCACAATCTGAGTCTACTATCATTAGCAATCAAATGCTATTAATACTAGAAGATGCATATAAGGACAACAAAACATAATAACATAATTCATGTAACTAAAAGTAATGTTCTGATTCCTAAGAAATTTTCCTTTGAGGTGATATCATACATCTCTGACAAGTAAGTTAAGAGGCAGTGAAGAAATGAATCAACCAGTATAACTGTTGCTGGAACAACTTGGCAAATTAGTGAAAAATGGGATTTAAAAATACTCCCCATAGGAGAAGTCAAATTTCTTGTAGGTCAAGATAAATTGTCTTCCAACAAGTAAGTTAATCAGGTTTTCAGAACTGAACTATGAGTGAATAAATCAACATCATTAATCTCCTTCCTATAATTTCTATATAGCACTTTGCTGACACTTCATTTTTGATATATCTGTAAGTTTTTATTTATGTCTCCTATCTCATCCATAAGTATTATATTCTATTCAACTATACAGATATATATATTTTTTTGCTCGCTCAGTAACACCAGGCTTTATCTGAAAGTGGATTTTAAAAAATACATTGGATTCAACATTTCAAAATGAAATATTCTCTCTGGTTTATGTTGAATATACACTTGGATTTTCCTAATTGCTATGCCTACTCAAAGTTATGAACAGAAAAGAAATTTAGATAAGAATCATTAGAAGTTAATGTTTTGTTACAACTGAGATTATAAATCACTAGAATTATAAGTTAACCTACATTCTTAACCAGGAAACATTATATGGCAAAATCTCACATATAATCATCCTGTTAATTCTTGTTGAAACTATGGAATTATTGATTAGTAAGTATTATTGGAGGCATTCCTTCTCAATGAGGCAATTTTAGAACTTTAACAATGGAAGAGCATTACTCAATTATACGCTTTTCAAATTTTAACTCTGAATAAATCAATGGAATTTACAATGCTATCATTGACAACCTCAAAAATTCTATTTTAGTTTAGAAATTTCCTCAGCAAGATATTCGGTTAACTGTGGAGAACAAAATTACCAACAACAAAGCTGTTAAATGAACAGACCAATATAAATTATACAGCCTAGATCACATCCAATGAAATGAATTCAGACTTCCTTTGGTGAGGCAATTGGTTCAGTCAACATGCTTCTTTTCTCCTTTGTGCTGTTTGTATTTAGTGTTTGTGGTTTAAATCAAGGAATTGATTTTCCCCAAATCTTATTCAAGGTCAAATTAAACAGATGTGATAGGAGTTGAAGTTTGTTACTCGGAGGATAGATAAGATCAATTACATTGATTTTCCCATTGCACAGTAATCTGTTTTATTAAGAGGAGTTTAAAACAAGGTTTCTATTTGCATTTTTGTTTCGAATGCCTAGTACTGAAAAGCAGTCACTGAATTTAACCTAGCATATTTAGGCATAAGGGTAGTAATATTTTCTTTTGCATTCACAGCATTTGCTTTATTTTTTAGAACTTTAAGGGCAAAGGAAACTCATTTGATTTAACAAATCTATACTTGTATCCAGGTCACTGAAAAAAGGCGGCAAGGGTAAAGTGCATTTTTAATGGATTATTGTGGTGCTCTGACATTGGGGCTTCAGGATATCCTTTCTATTGAATGATTTAATGACATTAATCCACCAGGCTTTACCACACATAGGCTTGCGTGTATGTACATCCACTGCTGAGGAAAAAACTCTGTAGTTTGCATAAGGAAGGAACATATAACAGTAACATCTAAAAGGTAAATGAAACTGCAAAAGAGGAACAGAGTGAGCTTACCCATAGAAGCTCAGAACAAGACCCCTCCAATCTGAACCATGACAAGCTGGTCAGCTGATAATCCCCTCAGCAAATATTTCTGTCCCTTTGCTTGTCCCTGCAAGTCCCACAATCCTCAAAACTTCCACTTTTGCTGTTACTCTTATTGACTTTTAATATACTGCACATTAATATCCTTTGTTACATTCATGACAAATTTAGCATCATTTTTACTGAAATATTGGTTTGGGGCTGCCTATGAAGCATATGGAATAGTTTCTCAATTTATTCAAATCTTTTGGCATATATTTTCTAACTACATACTTGTTTGCTAGAGAACCCAGAGTTGACATATTGTATGTGCCTTGTGAGAAACAAACAAAAAACATATCAGCATAACTGGGCTAATCGTTTGTTGGAGAAAACTAATAAATCAGTTATAAAAGTATATGCAAAGAGGAAGAAAACTCTATCATTGATGATTTAGGTAGCATCCATCTTTTAAAGTTCATATCATCTTAGCCATGTGGAACATGAAAAGTAAAACCCATCAGTTTTGCATGTTTCTTAATTTCTAACTAAATGATGAGGCAAAATATTACCAAAGTCCAGAACCCTGGGCATTAGAAAAAAACAAGTCATCATGAGATTCTTACTTATCCCCTGGAGTTTGTCGTATATCAGTTACATTATTATCATTTCTCTGAAACACTAAGAAGTATCTTGAATTTTCCAAGAGAAAATAATTTCTAAGATTTATTGAGTGCTTACATTACTACTTTTTGTTTTCATTAAATTTCTGCAAATATTTTTGAAAATTGAAGCCAGAATCTGTTAAATAGTATGTTTAAGACCACACACGAAACCTAAGTACTTGACCAAGTTTTCAGAAATTATGAGGCCATTTTTATACCAGTGCAAAACTGATGGATTTTACTTTTCATGTTTCACATGGCTAAGATGATATGAGCTTTAAAAGACAGATGCTATCTAAATCACAAATGATAGAGTTTTCTTCCTTGTTAAGTATATTTTTATAACTGCTTTATTAATTTTCTCCAAGAAATGATTAGCCCAGTTTATGCTGATTTTTTTCTTTTTTTTACTTTCTCACAAGGCACATACAATGTGTCAACTCTCGGGTTCTCTAGCAAACTGTTTGCCGTGTTATCACACTACTTGTTAACTACAGTGAGACACTGGTGCTTTTTCTGCTTATTCTAACCCTCATCCTATCCTAAGGCTCTCTCTTGGGAGTAAATGGTTTATTCATTTAACCATTAAAAGATGCAGCAAGTTTGGCCTCAGTATTTTTGATACAGTACCTTCTAAGGAAAATGAAAGGCAGATCATAGAAGGCTATTGCCCAATTAAACTAGACGGGCAGCCTCCACAGCCTACGGGTACACAGGAGGCCACGGATGACCTCCACTGCTAGGACTTTGGATACTGTCACTATTGATCAGCCAGCCCTAGGGTGAGCACTTCTTTCACTGCCTCACTAGCCCAATAAAAGCAGAAAGTGCTACTATAACACTGAAAGTAGGTACCACATGGAGAGATTTCTACAGAATTTATGGATCCCAGGTACAAGCTGTTATAACTTTATCAGTGGCTCCCATCAAAACACAGAAGTCTTACTCTTGAGATCAGGTATGATAAGCACCAAACATTCCATTTCATGAAGCAAGTGGAGCCTGGGCCCATCCCTACATGGCTGGCCACAGGAGTTAACTATCGTCGTTTTCAAGTCCTTACTTTTTGGGTCCCACTTGGCCAACATTGACCCGCACACAGATGACTTTTCTTGTCTGCATGCCAACGGAGCAAGAGGCCTCCCCGTTCCAAGCTGCAGTTGTGTTGAAGGACGAAACTGAAGTGTCCTCGATACACTGGCCCCAGGGACCGGTTTGCCAGTGGTACACAGTACAGGGATGCTCGTTACAGCTGCGTACCTCTTGCAAAGCACTGCTGTTTGGGCACTGAACTCCACCTACAGAAACAGACAGTATGAGCAGGTTAGATATGGTGCCCACAGAAACCTTGTCATTCTCTGTTCCTTGGAATTAACAATAAGAATGATACTGGCCACTTACTAGCACAGGTGACCACCACACTGCTAGGAAGGCAAATCACGTGAATGGCACTGTCTGGCTGAAAACTTAAACTTTGTGGTATACTTGATATTTGGTTTGGGGGACTCAGAAGGACCTCAAAGACAGGCCATTATTCTCTAGAGAAGATGAAAATGAGGAACAAACGAAGCCTATGTATTCCTAACGAGAGGAAACATGGACATTGAGAATCTATAGATGGGGAAAACCCCGGATGTTCACAAATGATATCCATCAAATTGAAAGTCTTAATTCTAGGTTTCAAAGTGCTGCTTATTTCAGTGAATTAGGATTTAGGGTGATTCAAAATCAATAGATGCTTTCTGATCCCCCATGGCATCACTGAAGAATATGTTATACATGTATTAATGATAATATACCATATTTCTTCAAATCTAAAATGTGTGAATGACTGTGAGATAGACCATCATTTTATGTGTCCCAGAAAGAGTAAAATGGCTGCAAATTAAACTACAATACGTTTTTATCAACTCTAATTTTTACTGTATGCTTATCCAAATAGCTTTGTATGACTTATTTAAATACTTTTTAAAAAATGTACCACTTTTACATCCATTAAAAGGGAAGGTATTCCTAAAACTTCTTTATATTCACAATCCAAATCTTTCAAGTAGCTTATCAGTTGACACTCATCAAAGTTTGTGTTCTCCTACATATAACATCTCTGTGGCATCACATGCATTGGTTACCCAGGATTTCTTAAAAGTGTTCCCTGTTGTCTCCAGGGTTTTTTTTTTTCCAGGATACTGGTACCCATTTCTAAGTTCTAATGTGGCTCTATTTTAATTATACCAGAAGATGTTTGCCAATGAAAAGTTTAAGCGAGCAACCAAGGGAAGGTTTATTTTCCTTCCTCAAATGGCCCTTAGCTGTTTTTATTTCTTTGTTTCTGATAGAAATAGTATGGAGTTGCTATTGCTCTCAGGAATAACAATGAAATTCCCAAGTACTAGCAATGCCAACTATATTATAACTGCTGTTTGGCCACCATGATTTTAAAATGAACCTAATATAACATGCAGTAATTACAGAGATGATAAAGAGTAAAACACATGTGTCCTTTTAATCAATAGAATGCGGTAGTGGAGTTGTCAATATGGAACTCTTTTTTAACATGCTGGTCCCATTATAAGTACTTTATAGGTAGGATCTCATTTTATATCCACAGCTGCTGAACAAGTTAAAAATTATGAAGGGGATGAGTCCAGACAGCTTAAATGATGCAGTCACAGAAGCAGTTAGGAATTTATGGAGTCTGGTGTTTTTTTGTTTTTACCTAAATGCTATTTGTAATGCCAGCGCTGAAAATAAAAAGCTTTATCCTGTTAAAAACAGAGTATTGGGAGGAATTTATTGTTTACATTGTTGACAATTTGATCTAGTCACACTTATGTAGTCTCTGGATTTCATTTTAAGAATAGAAAATAACTGGTTGTTCACATGGAATGGTGGATCCCTGGGTGTTCATCACACATATTTGTGACAGTAAATGGAGGAAACCTGAACATAATGAGGTGGGTTTTAGATATCAGGAAAGCAAGTTTTTTAAAAGTTTAAAAACGTTAAGAAAAGTGATTCAATAGCTAGTGACCCTAATATAGCAGGAGACCTGGGTTCGATCCCTGGGTTGGAAAGATCTCCTGGAAAAGGGAATGGCAACCCACTCCAGTATTCTTGCCTGGAGAATCCGACAGACAGAGGAACCCGGCGGGCTACAGTCCACCAGGTCGCAGAGTCAGACATAACTGAGCTACTAACACTAACACTAACAAGGAGGATGGCTCCTAAAGTTTGAGATCTGGGTAAAACTAATAAGCAAAATCACACCCTGAGCTGATCTTCAGGTATCATTTCATTTGTGACTAAGGACATCCCTCTATTCAGCATATAAATCAGTAGGCAATTTATGTGATAATTTAACTGCAATTTACAGTCACTTATGCAGTGTTGAACATGGGATCAACATCAGAATAACCTGTATTAAACAACATTTCTTTACTGTCCCCTGCTTCATGAAGGTGAAAACATCTGTCACGGCTCATATCCTATCTTCCATCACACAGCTCAGCAGTCCTGGAGCAAGAAGTTTAGTATTTGAATAGGGACAACTCCTAAACCTGCTAATTGGACTGGGGCACTCTTATTACCCACTTCCCTGAGGCTCTAGATTTATCCAATGGTATTTCTCAAGAAAACACATGCTAACTGTAGAAAAATGTGTTCATTTTACATAACCATTTAAAACTATATCTAATTTAATAGTGAAATTACCCCTCCTCAATTGAATAATGTGTTTTTACTTACCCCATTTTTACTTTGAATATATGTATGCTATGTAAGTTATGATTTTAAAACTCTGAATTGTTTTTGACATTGGAATTGGCTGGTTGGTTTTGAAAAAAATAATAAGAAAAGAGCTTCTACAACATCAGCATAACACGTCCAGGAACTGCAAGATAACTGTTAAGTTTACAAACATAAAGACTATTTATTTTCTTGCCCCAATCCACATTAAAGCCACATCAGCATTTTCGGCGTATGTCAAGATATTTGCACAGATAAGTCCCAGTGTGGTCTTAATTATAACAACGATGTGGCAATTTGGAAAGTATGGTTTGGATAATCAGTCACTGCAGCATTGTCATGTTGTTTGGGGAATACTTTTATGGTTGAAAAATTGATAGATATGATACTGAATTTATTTATTATTTATGGGAAGATTTAATTCCAGACATCTGGGAATATTCTCATTCCTGTAGTATGAGATTATAAAATGTCACCTGTGACAAAATCAGTGGTAAGTGTATTTTTTAAAAAAAACCCTCTTATACATAAAAATATACGCTTCATATTAATGTGACTATTTAGGCTTTCTATCCTTTCACCAAAAGGAAAGACTTTATAATACTCTGATGATGAAATTCTGTTATATAAGTAAACTTTCATGTTCATACAAAAATGCCAATTATAATATGCAAAACTTCTCTCAGAAACTACAAATGACTTTTCCTCCCTACCATCAAGCCCAAAAGACCTTGGTTAAGAGACATTTAACAGAGCTATGTTGTTTTTGAGTGTGGCATTGAAGTCCTTACAATTTAGATCACAGATTGGAGAGGGAAAAAAAAAAAAGAATCTTTTCAGGGACTCCTCTTGTGGTCCAGTGGCTAAGACTCTGAGCTTCCAATGCAGGAGGCTCGTGTTTGATCCCTGATCAGGGAACTAGTCCCACATGCTGCAACTAAAGATCCTGCATACCACAACTAAGACCCTGGCACAGCCAAAGAAATAAATAAAATAAACAAGTGGTTTTTTAAAATAGAACCTTTTCAAAACATTAATTGAATACCTATGTACTGACTGTAATATGCAATGGTTACCTATGCTTCAAGGAATAGTCTAGAGGGGTTAGAAATAGAAATAATTCTTGCTACTCTCAAGGATCTTACAATGCAGTGGTGAGAAGTATGGGGTGATAACAATAAGCAAAGAATTGAGTACAATTCTAGGTGAATGCAATAATATAATGATAAAGAATATGACAATTATGTTAAAAGAGGTATTTAGTATAATTGGGATTCAAAAGTTTAAAATTACATTAGTTTGGGGGATACTAAAAATGACTAAGGTTGTTGAGATGAGGCATTGAGATGACTTTTGAAGAAATAGGAGTTCGATAAGCAGAGTTCTGGGAAGGGAGACAAGGAAGAGAAAATTTAATTTAAGCAGAAGAGAAACTAAATAAAAGCTGAGGCACTCAGGCAGGTATGACCCTGGGAATTAGCAATATTGATGCAGTCAACTGGAGTGCAGAGTTCACACAGAAAAGTAACTGATGATAAGGATAAAAAAGTGGACTAGGCTCAGGGCAAGAAGAGGCTATTACAGTGTACTGTGAATTACAATTTTAAGATACTTGTAACTTTGCCTGCTATTGCAGCCGTAATACCTTTGACAGCAGACTACTGGAGAGTGAAAGGCAATGGCATGGTTTCAGGGAATTTAACTGGAAGTGCGTTAGTCACAGAGAACCTCAAGAGACACTGGGGCGGCCACCACCCCCTCCGTTTTCTTCCCCTTGTAGTAAGGGACTAAAGACATCCCACAGTAGAGTCTGGATAAGTCCTGTAGGACTGTGGGAACAGACTGAAGTGGTGGTCACGTGGGAACAGACTGAAGCAGAACTGCTCTTTCAAAGTCAGTAGCAGGAAGGTGCGGAAGTGGCAGTATTTACTCAGAAGTCAGAGTTATGTGTGTATGTACACATAAAATAGATCCTGATCTCTTCAAATTCCTCTAGAGGAAATAGAAGTACTTCCTGGTTCTCAGAACTAAAATCATTTCACTGTAAAAATGAAACAAGGTAAAACAAATATTTATCCCCTCAATGTTTTATACTGCAAAGTAAAACTTCTGAGGACTACTAATTATTTGAGGAAAAATTGGCATAATTTTATTTCAATTTGCATCTATTTTCTGCATCTACAAAGAAGGTGTAAAGACACACTAACACTTGGCTGAAGTTATAATATCAGGTCACTCTGAACTCTGCAAAAATAAATATTCTCTTATATCTTGCTTTTTAAAGATAATTGACTATAATGAGAACTAACAGAAGCTGTTGTTATACTTAGTGGAAAACACTTTGAAAATCATTTTTCCTTTTAAACCAAGTTTGTTAAGAACCTGCAACATGAGTTAAAAAATGGAGAAGGTCATAAATATAACATCAATTTTTAAAAAAAATCAATATACTACTATTTATATAAAAAATATGTCAAACTTAAGTGTTAAAGGATTGATTTCTTTTAGAATTCCTGAAATAATTCTAAAGTAGCTCTTGGGACCCATTCTGTAT